CCTGCATTGGCAGGTGGATTCTTAACCACTGTGCCACCAGGGAAGTCCCTATGCAGCTTTAAAAAAATCCCATTAAAATTTTTTAATCCTAAATTAAAATCTTTTCATTGAGCAAACAAAAAACTATTATTTTCCCTTTATAGTTATCAAAAGGTAGTTTACTTTTTCTTAGTAAGCACTGTTTCCAAGTATCTGAATCTGCTATAATTACAAAAGTTTCAAAGACCCAGAACCACTTCCTACCAGTTTTGAAACTCTAGCAGTGATCTTCTACCGTTTTACTATATCCCACTGAGCAGCAGAATTTGGGGTAGCACATTTGAAATAAATTAAATTGTTTTTTCAGTTACATTATCATTCTATTGGCTGCACTTTAGCCTTGGGACATTTTTTTTGCTGCACAGACCATGCACTATTATATACCGTTATTAAAAAAGGTTGTCATGTATACCAAAGAACACAAACCTTTTCTGACTCCAACTTGCCTTTAAACTAAGACTTCCACTATCTGGTTGTACCTAATTCTCTACCACATTCAGAACTGTCTCAGTTCAATGAATAAGAATCAGTTCAATGAATAAGAATCAGACAACACTGTGCAGGTTATATCCTCAGTTGTAGTAAAAGTTTTTACACAATGGTCAAAATTTAGTGGTAAGTTTGATGAAAAATCCTTAACCTGGCAAAATGTCAGAGCACACCAGGAAAGAAGCCAAGTGTATAAAATTCAAATTTTTATTCTAATCATTAAAATAATATTTGGGCAGGCTAGTAGTTGTGGTCTGACAGATTGACTGGTAAAAATCTTCATTCTTAAATATGCTACACCCCCAAATCAAATCAACATAATAGAAAATGAGAAACTTGCTCCAGACTTCAAACTCCATTACAATATTGTGCAAATATACTGGATTTGGCCCCAAAATTTAATGTATGGTCTGGCAATCTCTGACTTTCATACCAATGTTGTATTGATGAAACTGACATAGATTTAATTTAGTCTCAAAGTTCCACACTAAAGCCAATTTGCAGGCATTTCCAATAACTCAGTGACACAGCTTAACTTAGGAACTTTAGGAAGACCCTAAATTAGCAGAATTCATGGTTCTCACCTCCTACTAGAATTTCTTACCTGTCAAGAACTTTAAGAGAACAGAAAAAAGGGTCAAGATAATAGATATAGGGCTTCCCTGGTGGTGCAATGGTTAAGAATCTGCCTGCCAATGCAGGGGACACGGGTTAGAGCCCTGGTCCGGGAAGATCCCATATGCCGCGGAGCAACTAAGCCCGTGTGCCACAACTACTGAAGCCCGTGCACCTAGAGCCCGTGCTCCACAACAGTGCAGCCACTGCAATGAGGAGCCCTCACACCGCAACAAAGAGTAGTCCCCGTCCCCGCTCACCACAACTAGAAAAAGCCTGCGTGCAGCAACGAAGACCCAGTGCAGCCAAAAATAAAATAAATAAAAATTCCTCGCCCCCACTGCCAAATCTCAGAGCATAAAATAAATAAATAAATAAATAGATAAATAAATCTCTTGTCCTCAGCCACAATTCAAAAGCTACACTAAGCCCACAATAAATATTCAAGACAAATACAAACATAGGTCTCTGCCTCCACAACATTCTTCTAAGGTACACGTCATAAAACTCTGTTTAACAGTGAAACACCGTGCTGAAACTATTATGACCAAGTTTTCCTAGTTTCTACCATCCTAAACAAAAGCCAAGATAGACTCATATTATGTTACATTCTGCAGTGAGGTGATTTTATTACTAGTAGGGCCCAGCATTTAGTGAAGTAACAAAACATTTCAAATATGGAAGCCTGAAGTCTAGACTCAGCTAGGTTAAGATCCACTTATGATGGTGCTATGTGTATGGGAGGAGGGGGTACAGGTCTGTCACAAATCCATATCCACATATTCAAATGGCAAATTACCAGTGACAAAGGCAGCACGTAAACACTGAATTGTTCTCAAAGGATGCCTGGCCCATGCTCCTCTAATTTCTAGTTAACCTCCTGATTTCTCAAAGCCAGGAGAATCATAAGACCTAAAGTAAGAATCACTGTTACGATTAATGGCTGTGCTAGGTACATCCTACTATTAATACCATAGTATTACATCAGACCTGGAGGTAAGAATTTTGAAACAATAACTAGTTAATATGGTTATTCTTATAAGACAAAATAATAATGATGATATTCATTAGAACATCTGTGATTCAACATTTTCCCAAAAACAATGTTCAAATTTCATTTCTCAGAAAAGTCATGAAAATGTCTCTAAGTCAGCTACGGCAAAGTTCTGAAAAAGCATTGAAGATCTTAGTGATTAACAAAATAAAAATGTTTACAAGTAGTTGTGCAAAGTAAAGAGTCTTTGCAGAATGGCGATGATGCTACTGAAATCAAAAGTGATTATCTAAATATATCTGCATCTTCTGTCACAGCAGTCATAATGGCTTCTAAAGGAGTAATATAGATTTTCTTGCCTTAGAGAAACTGCTCTACCATAAAACTGATTTTATTTACAACTAAGTGGCTGTGAAAACTGTCAAGGCAAAACAAAGACAAACTATTAGGGACGCTAATGTATTAACTGTACAAATTCATGTAACAGTTTCTTTAATTTTGCAGTAACATTAAGATGTAACCTTAATAGAGAGTTCTTATATTTCGGTTCAGTTCAGCAAATTTTTACATGCCAAGACTTTTATTTAGAGCTAAGTATGAAGACATACTTAGAGGTCTCTAGAGAATCTCAATCTAGTGAGGGTAAACAAACATAAATAAACAATAGTAATACTATATATACTTCTTCAACTAAAGGATGTTTGTATTAATTTAAAGAAAAAGGAGTTAATCTTTTAACATCAGCTAAAAGCAAAGTTAAGAATTCATCTCTCCTTTGAAGAAATAATTATTAGTCTACTGAGCATTTGAAGATATGACATATAGTCAATACACATAAATTAACAGCTTACTGCAATCAGTAAATTATCATCTCATGAAGATTTAACCGTTGGATACCCATTTAGACTAGAAATACTTGATTAAAAGTTTGTTTTGAAATGCCAACAACTTTGCAAACCTATAATAGGATAAAAGGTTGTAAAAGTAAACCAACATATGAGACGTGGCTAAAGTCAACATTTCACAAAGACATGTTATAATTTAACAATTACAAAAGAAAATTAATCTATTTCAACTAAAGAGAGTATAAATACTGCAATCATTATTTTTCTGGCATAATTATGGTTTTGGTACGATGTCTTCTATAAAAGGCATCTGTGTACCCACCTATCCCAGTTCTGTTAACTGACAACTACAAGCATCCTCTATTCTTAGTCTTCTAGATAACTCTACTAAAAGTATTATTCATACAATATCTGCAAAGCGTTGGTCCTGCAAATCCGTCAAGGTACCCTCCTTCCAATTTTCAAGACACAACTCCAATTCTGGAGTTACAGGTGAGAGGAACATCTGGTAGCCTCCTGGACTGTGGTGATTTCACATACAGTTTTATGCACCTTTTTAACCCAGACACTTGTATTGACCACGTCTTTACCCTGTGGCCAATACGTGTCAACTCAAGCTACCAAAGTGAAATCAGTTGATACTGAGTATCTGTAAAATCTAAGTGTCCAAATTCTTGTTTCCAGTTTAGTTTTTTTAATTTAAAGGTAATGTATTAAATCTTTTTTTGTGAAAAAAGATTGTCTAAACTTGTCTAGTACTTAAGATAAACTTAAATGTAAGAAAAATACAAAGAAAAATAAAGAAACACATTATTACTGTTAGAAGAAAGCCAAATGATTATCTTTATTTACAGAATCACTCCTTTCACTATCTTTTCCAAACATCACTTCCTTTTCACTACTTCCCCTAGTCCTTTGGGCAAATCAGTGTTTAACATCAACCCTCCCACCCCAGATTCTTAAAAGTATTCACTGTCCACAAATGAGAAAGCCCCATGACCCAAATATATTACCCTAGTGATCGTCCATGCTTTGAAAGACACCTGTGAAAATGCCAAAGCCCTAAATTAGAGCCTCCAAGGGCTCCTTTTCTTTCTTGACCCCATTTCTCTTTTTCTGGCCTTTAAAGCCAGACGACTTGCCACCCGATAGCCCTTTCCTCTTCAAGCCTAAATCCTTCCCCTAATTACCACCACCCACTCTGGTCAGCGATCTTGTCAGTCCCACCCCGGTTCCCTCTCTCTGGCCAGGTGGTAACATCGACCTTGGTCCGGCTCCTCTGATTCCGTGCCCCCAGTGCCAAATCTCAGAGCATCTCTTCCCCCGGTCCTATATTCCCGCGGTACCCCTTCGGTCTTTTTGCCTCACTACCCGGTTTTCCAAAACCTTCAAGCCCCTGCCTCTTCGAGGCCACATCTCCCTCAGCCTCCCACTCCCTCTCGCTCTCCCCTCGACCTCTCCTTACCCCTCTGCCTCGGGCCATCGTCACGCCCCTCAGGCCCTCGGCTCAACAACCTCCATTTCCCTCAGATTCCATGCTAAAGGGGACTCTCCACGCTCCCTCAACGGTCTCCCGGGGCCCCTCCGAACCCCTGTCCGTGGTAGCCTCCGGCTCCATCCCCGACTCTCCACTCACCCTTGGCTGCAGGCGCCTCCCAAAGCCTCTCTTCCCCGCCTCAGCTCCTCCTCACCTCAGCGGTCCGAGTCGGGCTCCCCAGACCCACCTCCGAGTCGGCGTCTGAGCAGCTGTCGGAACCCGGCGTCCTCCGAGCCTCGCCGGAGTGAGACGCCTCAAGAAGCGGCGGTGGAGCCCGGGTAGGAGAGCCGAAGTGGACCCTGGGGCGGTGGCGGCTGCGCGCAGGCATCGCCCCGGCCGGCCCTCGTCTCACCCGCGCCGGCAGCCGCTCGAATTCGAACCGGAACTGCTTCGGGAGGCGGGGCCCTACCGGCGGGAGGCGGAGCCCTAGGGCGGGGGCGGGGCCAAAACCGGAAGGGACGCGGGGCTCAAGATGGGCGCGAGGGGAGAATGGAAGCTAGAAACCGCAGCAAGGAAACCCGAGAGCGCATGCGTCAGGCCCAAAGCCGAAGTGTAAGATGAGGGGCTAGCAGAGATGGGGCGGGGCCTATGGGAGTAGCAAATAGTGTTTGGGGGCCAGAGGAGGTTATCCTAATTCCTTCGGAGGGAGCCAGCTCCTCTCCAATAGCCAACCTCCAATCATTCTTACCACTTATTGCCCCTTTATTCTCTGAGAGTCCCTATGCCAAATGCCATATAAATATCTCACTTAATCCTTGTGCCACCTCTACAGAGTATTACAACACAGAAGGGCCAAGAAACTTGCCTGAGGTTGGGCAGTTAATATGTGCCAAAGCCAGTATTCCTACTCAAATCTGCCTGACTTCAGAACCTATGCTCTTTTCACCTTACTATACTGCCCCACCCTGAGGGAAGCCCCCAGCCCAGGCCTAGCATTGGTGTAAACCAAGTCCAAAACCACCTGCGACCTGGGCTCCAGCCCCTTCTTGGCCTTGGTTTCCCAGGCGGTGCAAGGCAGACTTCAGTGGCTCTGATGGGGGTGGGGACAGGCTCTGGGGTGGACATGAGTGCAAACTGCTACCATGGAATGCCCTGGTGTGGCCTTTACCCTCGAGGCAGACTCAAAGCCAGAGGCAGCTGGGAGCCTCCCCACTGCAGCTCATGCCCCGGATCAAGGCTTCATGAAGTCATCTGAGAGCCGGCAAGACATATCACTTCTTCATCCCATAACTAGCTCTGGCAGAAGGACAGATACAGACTTTTCTCTGTTTCTGTTGTGAAGACAAAAGCCCGTATAGGCAGAGGACTCTCTCTCCCCCTCCCCAAAATATTTCTGATGATAGCCCTTTGGTTCTTCAGAAAGTCTAGGGGAACTTTCATCTCCCTTCTCCCCCCCTTTGACATATGCAGCCCATTTTAACCTTCTCTTTTGAGAAATCAGCCATTTTCATAACAGAACCACTGTTCAAACCTTCCCCCATAAACCCTGTGGGCACCCTTTAGATGAGGTCCTCCATGCCTCCTCGCCACTTTTCTCCGACTCTATAACTCAGGAACCCTCCCCTGAGCCCCATAATCCAGAAGCTCATCCAATAGCCATACAGCTCCCACTTAGTTTGTGACCCAGGCCTGAAGAACTTTTCCTATCACGAATCCTTGGAGGCAATCACCTCCTCTGCACCCCAGATCTCTACTTTAACTCAGTCCTCAGAACCAAATAGCCTTACACAGGAGTCTAAATCTATTAAACATCTATTATGTGTTAGATGCAGAATATCCTTTGTTTCATTTAATCCTCACAATTCTTACATCAGAGGTGAAGAAACTGAGGCTGAGAGGTGACTTGCAGAGGTATGTCTGATTCCATGTTGTCATGGAATTTGGGGTTAGGGGGTGGCCTGGGGAGGAAAATGTCCTGTTCTCTCTAGAGGCCCCTGTGACTTGCTGAGTCACTTGCTGCTGTCTCACCTGTCCCTGCCAATCTCTAGGAAAGGAATGACACTGGAGAGGCAGAGTTGTGACCGCAGAGACAGAGGGGCAGGTGGGCCGGCCCATGGCGGAGGCCTCGCTCCCACAGCTGAGGGGAGATGCCGAAGTCACGCCTTGCCCCACTGTCCTGGAACTAGAGGAGCTCCTGAGGGCAGGGAAGTTTTCTTCCAGCCGCGTGGACGAAGTTTGGCCCAACCTTTACATAGGAGATGCGTGAGTGGTAGCTGACTGAAGGGATAAGGGGGTGGAGACAAGGAGAGACAGTTCCTGGGATCTTCACCAGAGATGGGGGTAGGGTGGGTATAAGGGCAATAGTTCTTCTCTGAGCTTCCCAGGCTAGGGACTTTCTCCAGGACCCCTCTGTACTGGGGACAGTGCAGTGAGCAGGTGCAGCCACCAGGGGGAGCAGAGACTTTGCCTACCTGAAAGAAGGGAGCTCCCAGAGGTTCCCAGAGTCTTCTGGCACATCCAGAACAACTGGAGGGTCTGGGGCGGGGGAAGGACTGGGGAATGGTGATTTGCGGTATGAGATGAGGTGGACAGAGAGCTTGCCTTTCCGGTTCCAGCCTCCCTCCTCTGGACACAGAGTGGGTGAGGAAGGCTGACTGAAGGTGAATCAGGGGAGGTGTCACCTTTAAATATTTGCAGATTAGAAGCAGGTATGAGGTAGTGGCCAGGAGAGGCCAGATATGCATGGTAGGGCATGGGGCAAGAAGGGAGGTGCAGCTGGGTCCCAGGGCCGAAGCAATCCTTTTCCTTCCTGTCCTGGCCAAGGCAAGGGTGGATTGCCTCAGGGAGCAAAGAGAGGCTAAAGCTAAATCCCTTGACCACCAGCTCCCCTACCAGAAAGCTCCTATGGTGGGGCTGTGAGCCGCAGACCCCATGGGTTCCTTCTGGCTCCTTTTGGACCCTAATGGATTCATCGCTCTGAAGCGGGGGTCCAGACAAAGCCTTCCTGGACCTCATTGCTCCCCTTCCTCCCCTCCCCAGGGCCACGGCAAATAACCGCTTTGAGCTATGGAAGCTGGGCATCACCCACGTGCTGAATGCTGCCCATGGGGGCCTCTACTGTCAGGGCAGCCCTGACTTCTACGGCAGCACTGTGAGCTACCTGGGGGTGCCAGCCCACGACCTCCCTGAGTTCGACATCAGTGCCTACTTCTCCTCTGCAGCTGACTTCATCCACCGTGCCCTCAGCACACCCGGGGGTAAGACTTGGGGTTTGAACCCATATCGCATCCTGCTCAGTCATGGGGGGATGTCCAGTTTCCCCTTAAACATCAGTGTCCTCACACCCCTAGTTTTTAAAGGGCCATCAGGTTTTTAAAACTCTCTGCTCAGTGTTCCAGCACTTTATCCAACAGCATTGCTTCACAGATAGGGAAACTGAGGTCTAGAATACAGGTCATGCCACGAGCTAGGAGCAGCCCTGGGGCTAGAAGCCAGGTCTCCCAAACAACAAAACAGTTCTTTCTGTATCACTCAGCCTTGGGACATTGCTATCTGGTACCTAGATGTCTGGCTTCTGCCCCAAAGTACTTTCGAATGGAAAAAATCTTCTAATACCAGGGGTACAACAAAGGAGCCTGGGGAAGCTCCTTCATGTTCATCCTGGGTGAGAGCCATGCCCCTTGCCACCTGACCCCGGGTGAGCCAGTGTCTTCTCTGGACTTCAGTTTCTCTGTGTCGTGGGAAAGACAAGACTATGGCTCATAGCACTGTTCAATCCAAGGCACTCTGACATTCATTTTCCTTCACCATTCATTCACCAACTATTATCTTCTCTGTGCCAGCCACGGAGCTAGGTACTGGGAATCCACACTTAGGCAAGGCAGGGCTCCCGGTGGAAAGACAGTCAAACTGTGAAGTATTACAAGCGCTACTCAGATGAGTGGGCAAATGTGAAGAGCAAAGGGAAGTGGGGTGGGGGGGACTTCCCTCTACAACTGTATTCACCGGGCCACATGCAAAAAGGATGAGCTGCTCTGTGATTCAAGTGATACCATGAGTGGTCAGGAAGCCATGTCTCAGCCAAAACCTGACAAATTAGTAGATGTTAATCAGACCAAGAGAAGGGGAAAACTTTTACAGGTAGTTGAAATAGCATGTGGTAAGGCTGGAGGCCAGGGACCATGACAGCTTCAAGGAACTGAAAGTTACCCAGTGTTCCTAGAGCTGAGGGGTGGGGGGTGGGGGGACAGCCTGAGGTGAGGCTGCAGGGTCAGCAGGGGCCAGCTCACAGAGGGTCCTGTGAGCCACGTTGGGGAGTGTGAACCCCATCCCAAGGGTAGGCATAATAGGTGCTGGTGTGCCCATTTGACAGAGCAGGAAATGGAGGCCCATACATGCTGAATGATTTACTCAGGGTCACAGAATATACCCAGGGCAGAGGAGGGAAAGGAACTTGGGTCCGCACCTCAGCCCCTGGGCAGGCTGGTGGGTGGGAAAGGGTCTTTCAGCAGGATGTCTTTCTCAGCCAGGGTCCTGGTGCACTGCGTGGTAGGGGTGAGCCGCTCTGCCACGCTGGTCCTCGCCTACCTCATGCTGCGCCAGCAGCTGTCCCTGCGTCAGGCAGTGATCGCCGTGAGGCAGCACCGATGGGTCTTCCCCAACCGAGGCTTCCTCCACCAGCTCTGCCGGCTGGACCAGCAGCTGCAGGGTGCAGGCCGGAGCTGAGGGGCCAGGTGAGGGTCGGGCAGGGCGTGAGGGGCCGGGGCTGGGTACAGTTAGCAGTGAGAGGTCAGGTGAGGGCTGGGCAGAGGGCAAGGGTACGATTGGAAGTAAGGGGTTGGGTGAGGGCTGGCAGGGGACATGGATGGGACCAGTTCAGAGGTTGGAGATCAAGGCTGTGTGTGGCTGGAAGAGAGGGTTGAAGGGGGCCTGGCCCGTTCCCCAAGCTTCTGGGCTCCCCTCACCAATCCAAGGTCTCACCTGGGCCTGGCTGAGGCACCCCTCTCCTAGGACCCTCTTCTCCAGCCCACCCAGATTCTTCAGACCCAGAGAAGATGGAAAGGCTAGGAAGGAAAGGGGTGGAAAGCATAAAATGGAAGAGGTGAGGCCTTCCAACCTGGTCCTAATGCTGATCTGTCCTGCCTCCTTGGCTGAAAGCCTGTGGGGCTCACCTGAACCCCACCGAGGCAGCAGCACAGCCAGTCCTGCACCTGAGGGCTGTCTGGCCCTTCCCACGCCTCTGCACACTCTCCCCTCAGGTCTGGAACCCAGCTCTAGGGAAAAAGTGTCCTGCAGCTATTGCTCCAAGCTTAGTTAATTCTGTCAGCCCTGAGCATCCATTCCCACCACGGGGAAGGAGAACAGGTGCTCCTGCCGCCCGCCATGACCTCCTCACACAAGCCCTGCTTGATATAAAGTTCTTCTGTCGCCACACCGTTCAGTTCTCTGCCTTGGACCCAGCATCCCACTGTCTACCTTCACCCCACCCAATGTGATCTCAGAGACCTACAGAAGGCCCCTCCCTAACCTCCCTCCCTCTCTGGTCCTGGGGACCCTTTAGGACATAAAGGTTTCCCTGAAGTCTGTCCATTTACCTTCTGCCTTCCTCCTGTTCCATGTTCAGTGCATTTGGAGGAATAGCGCCCCGTCTTTAAGCTGCCTAAGGGGAACAGATCCCCAATACCTCCTCTTCCCAAGGCACCTCCCTTCCGCCGGAGGCCCCAGCGTCCCCAGCTGCCCAGTAGAAGGAGTTGCGCTCCCCTAGCAGCAACAATGCTTCTCAGGCTCCCAGCCCACAAATGGTTGCCAAGGTGCTGCCGCAATTTCTTTGGCGTCAGCTCTGTGTTTTCCTCCAGCTCAACGGAGAGGCAGGGGTGCCTCTTTCTGGGGTCAGTGGCTGTGAGGGTGCCAGATTGTGAAGGAGCTGCAGAATTCCTACTGCCCTTCTTCTCCCATCATGCCCAGGCTGGGACTGTCCCCAACAGCCCATCTTCCTCACACTCAACATCCCCACCGAGGGCCATCTGATGGAAGGTTAAGCCTCCAGAGCTGCTCTCCATTCCCCCTATCCAGCCTCCAGCTCCTGCTACCCATACTGCTCCTTCCTTCATCTCTCCTCAACCCTGACTTTGGCTGTGCCCCACCACTGCCAGGTGGGAGTGGGGCACTGGCCTAGGCTCTCCTGGGAGTTTGAAGAGCAGCAGCTTCCTCCTCCTGCCAAGACCTTCCCTGAGGCATGGACTGAATCTCCCCCTGCCCCCACACATAAGAGGTGGTTTTGTCTCTGAATGCACAGCCAGCCCAACCAAGGGGAGCGTTTGAGCAATATCGACCCCTTCCCACATGCTGTCAGGACGATGAGCATCTTGGGGTCGGGGATTAGGGCAGGATGGAGGGCGAGGTTTAGAGTTTGGGGCTGAGTGTAAAGGAAGAAAATGAGGGTTGTAGCTGGCGTTGGGATTAGGCCTGGGGTGAAGCTGGGCGGGAAACTGTCGTGGGGAGTTCTGCAGGTGTGGGAGCCAAGAGGCGGACAGGAATGGCATGTTCCCATCCTGCTCTCTTTCCTCTAAACAAGGTTTGGGAACCTGGGAGAACAGCAAATCTCTGATCATGCCCAATCATCCCACTTCCGCGGCCTGGGGCCCTAAAATACTCTGACCTCAGCCCTCAGCATCTCTCCCTTCGGGCAGCTAGCTTTGGGAGAATCATTTGGTCTACAGCATTGCACAATTACTGGGAGTGCATCCAACAGCTGGAGCCCCAGGAGTTGTGCAGTGAGCAACCTGTGTGACTGTACACAGCAGCCCTGGGGCTGGGGACTCTGAGAGATGAGGGGGCTTTGGGGAGGTCATCTCCCTCCATGAGCCCTGGGCCCCGAACTTGCCTCATCTCTCTCGGCACCCGTACCCACTTGACCTTACACAGAGGCTCAAGGCAGAAGCAGGCTTATCTGACAGCTCTTGTCCCTGCCCTGATGAGTCCCAGCCAATCTGAACCATGGTTTACCTGCCTGTAACATGGAGCTCATCTCTCCCCCAGAACTGGTCCTTACTCCCTGCCACAGGGCTCTGCCACTTTGCCACCCTGGCACTGGCCCTGCTGGTGCTGCTGGAGGCTCTGGCCCAGGTGGGTACCCAGAAGATGGTAAGAGACCAGTGTGGGGTCCGCCCTAGAGCCTGCAACTCCATGCACTTCCTCCTGCTGCCTGCACCCCCTCTCAGCCACTGTCTCCAGTTCTCACAGGTGGGAAGGGGCTCCTGGTTGAGGCCCCTCGGGCGTGTGATCTGGCTGTTCTCTTCCCTGTCTCCCTCAGGAGTGGGGGGACACGGGAGGGGGGATTCTAAGCGTTTATGATGGCCCCTGGCCACGGCCATCTCCATCAGCTCTCCCCAGGGCTCAGGGAGCCCCAGTAGGGGCTGAGCCCTAGCTCCCTGGAGCTCGGGCTTCAGAGACCCCGTGGAGGCGTGGCTACGGGTATGCATACGTCTGTGTGTGTGTCAGTCATCTGAGAGTATGAGTGGGGAAGGGTATTAAAGTATGGGTATATGAAGAGGGTCTCTGGAGAGCAGGGAGTGTTCTTAATAGGCCCAAATCCAAGGTCCCTCACTGAGCCGTTAGCCTTGGAAGGGACTTTAAAGACCATCTCACTGGCCTCGAGGAGCAGTGAGGCCTGTGCAGGAATGTCTTCTGGGGGAGGGAGGAGCTTGGCAGAGGGCAGAGCGGTTTGCAGACACACAGCTTCTGACTGAAGGCCGGGCCTGCTCCAAAGACCTGCTCTGAACTCCACTTATATCTCTGTCTGCCCCCACTTCCCTCAGCCTAAGTCTTCTGGATCTTTATCCTGGGCCAGTCCTGTAATCCTCGGCTCCCGACCAAGGGCCCCTGGACCTGGCTTGTGATGTTGGCAGTGCGGCCAGTGTGGGTGTGATCTGGCTGTTCTCTTCCCTGTCCCCCTCCATGGAAGATCCTTGTAGCTTTAACTTTCTGCCCACGCTCCACATCACCCTTGAAGGCCAACCGACCTTTCAAAATGGCTTATTCAGTCTTCCTTCTTCCTGCCTCACAAGCAACATCAACATCCACACATACCACAGGCAGACCCCTGCCAGACTGCCTCTACTCCCAGCAGGGCCAGGTGCCTGGCTGGGCTTGGCACTGACCATGCCAGGGGACCAGTGGGTGAGTTGGGAGTGGCAGGGGGAGGCCAGAGGAGGGGAGCAGCACATCATGCTTTATAATTAAACTCCGATCAAAAAATAGAAACAGCATCAAGCGTGCAGAGACAGGCGGCTGGAAGCCGGGAGCAAAAAGTGCCCGTCAGAGAAGACCTCAGCCTGGGCCAGATACCCCCACAGGTGGGTGAGTGCCCCTATTTCAGGGGGGCTGCAGAGCATGCTGGGTAATGAGGGCCAGGACACCTGTGCCTGTGTGTGTGTGTGTGTGTGTGTGTGTGTGTGTGTGTATGTGTGTGTGTGTGGTGGGGGGGTGGGTTAGATCTGGGGAGGGACTGGGTCAGAGATAGAGGCACAGACAAAGCATAGTAGTCAGAATGACCTGGGCTTGAATCCTGGCTCCCACGCCTATTGGCCGTGTGACCTACGGCGTAGGGGATGATGATACCATCTGCCTCATAAGGGTGACGTGCGGATTCAGTGAAAAAAATGTAAGCATTTAGCTCGGATACATAGTACGTCCTTAGTTAGTGGTGAATACAATAATTATTGCTGGACAGAGAAAGAAAACTCAAGAAATACAAAGAGTTAGCGACCAAGCCTCATTAGCCCATGGGATATGGCTGAGTCTTGAAAGGGAAAGAGTAATAATGGTGATGATAATAATAGTAAGGTGCACCATTTATGGGGCATCTACCAGGAGGAAGACCCCGTGGGAGGTGCCTTGAACATTTCTTATCTCATGGAATTCTCACAGCAGCCCCACTGAGAAAACTAGCTCAGAGAAGACTACACAGAAACAAGCTCCAGACTTGAGAACTCGGCTCAGGTCTGCCCTCCTCCAAGGCCTGCACACAGAGTGCAGAGCCCCAGGCAGCTCACCACAGGCCACCCGCCGGCCACCCTCCCCAAGGCTTCCTTCACCAGACTCCTCACTTGTCCTGCCCTGAGATGTCCAGCCCCAGCTGTCCTGTGGCCACAGTCCCTGTGGTCTACCTTGAGGGGAGGAGGAGAAAGCAGGGAGAGTGAACAGGAGGGAAGACCAGGGGAGCACATCTGGAGCTTCAGGGAGGAGGTGGATGGCAGACAGAGGCCCCCTGCCCTGCGGAGGCCTGGGCCTTGGCCTGAGGCTACCGGCGTGCTGGGTGGTGTGTTGGGAGGCTGCTGGAGGAGCACAAGCTCCTGTGAGAGGCAGGGAGACAGAGGCAACCGGGGAGCGCGACACAGAGAGGCACCAACAAAGGCAGAACACAGATGTCTGAACTTGTAAACAGCGGCGACTCAGGAAAACCGTTGCCCACAGAGGCAGCTGCTCAGCTCAGGGAGGAGACACAGGAAGGTCGCAGGAGGAGTACCAGAGGAAAGGGAGAGAAGAGCCAGGCCGGCCCTGTCCCTGCTGGATGTTGGGCCCAGGCTTCACCCTGCCGTGGCTGAGGAGATGCGGAAGGAGGTGTCAGGCGGGGCACTCGGCATCTAGGTCTGGGGATGGCAGAAACCAGGGGGCTGCTACAGCCACCAACTCCCCTTCTTTGGGTGTGCCCGGAGCTTGAAGGATGAGTCGCTGGGTGGGGGCTAGGCCTGACCTTGGCTGAAAAGGTGGGCTGGACCCTTCTGGGATGGAGCAGACAGGTAGGGGGTACATCCATGAGCATCAGGTGTGAGGTCCAACGTGAGGCCTAGCAAGGGGTACTCCTAAGTCCGAGGAAAAAGCCCCCTTCTCCAGACCTGGGCCTAAGCCCCGAAGAGGCTGAGGCGTGAGCCAGTAGAAGAGGCTGAGCCAGTAGAGGGGTCAGCCCTCATCCCTGACCCCTCTACTGGCTCCTTCTCCTCCCAGGAGCCTCCAGGAGGAGCAGGGACAAGTTCTGTCTCAGCCGGAGCCTGGCTATCCGCGCCCAGGCACCGCTGGGCTGCAAGGCACCAATTGGCCACTGGGTGGCAGCCTTACCCCACACCAAGCTCAGAGGCCTGCAGCGGCGCCTGCCAGACTTCCCAAAGCCCCAACGCAACCGACCTGGGGCTCCTGCAGGCCCAGCTGGTAGCTCCAGCCCAGTGTCGCTGTTGGACTCTCCCCACCCCAACACAATACACTGTGCTGTACCCTGTAGTTTTTGCAAACCCAGGCTCTCCTCTCTCTTTCTCAGGTCAGACCCTCCAGAGATTACTTAAAGTCAGGCAAGGCCAGCATCTTTAAGTTGAGAAAGAGAAACCGCGGCCCAGACAGGAGCAAAGACTTGCTCTTGACCTCGGAATTAGCTGTGGCCAGGCTCTCCCCGCTCCCTCTAAAGTTCTCTTCCCACCAGTTCACATAGCCTCCCATCTCCATGGGGAGTCCCAGGGCCAAGAGCCTTTAATCGCAAAGAGACACCAAGCAGAGAGGGGTCCGGGCGTTTGGAAGGTCTGCACTTACAGTCAGCAGTGGCCTAGGTCTGCTCTCAGGCCCCACCCCCAGGGGCTCCAAGGGGAGGACCTGGAATTCTAGCTGCTTCATAGCGTTTGTGTTCCGGGCGGAACCTGCCCCGGCCCCATTCCGCTCACGTGCTGAGTCCTGTCCCTGCACCCACACCCCGACTCCCAGGCCCAGACCATGCCCTAGGTAGGTGGCAGGCAGTTCAGCCTGCCCTGAGAGGTCACAGTGGGGGATGAAAGGGAAAACCGGACCTTCGCTTCCGCCCTGCCCTCCCACTGCTCACTGGGTGAGCTTGGCCAAACCGGTGGCCTTCCAGGTTCCCATTTCTCTTCCTGGCCCTGGCACTGCCTACCAAAGAGCAAAGAAGTTCTTCCCAGTTTGTACCTTCCCTAGTTACTGGTTGAGGGGACCAGGGACAGTTAGCCAAGAGAGACACTCCTTCCAAGCCCAGCACCAGACCCAGGTTCTGGTGCCACTGACATCCCAGCTCTGCAGGGTCTCGGACCCCCTCAGCCAGCTGACTCCTGACACAAGCCACCCCACCTGGGTGAGGCCTGACCTGCAGCACTGGCCTGAGTCATGCGGGTAAGGAATGAAATCCCAGGGCCTATAGGCAGATATGGAACAGTTACACTAGGCTCCCCTGTAGAGACAGATGAGTTAGCGATGATTCTCTGGAGTCCCTGAAGGTGGTAACTCGAAGGCTTGGGGATGGAACTGAAGGAGAACAGAACTGGACTGAAACCCCGGCCTTGCTCCTTAACAGCCGTAAGACTGAACATTACTTAAAAATTATTCTCTGTGACCTTCATGTTCCTGCTTCAGCTTCCTCCTATGTATGATACGGACCTACCATGCGTGAGGCACCAGGCCCCTAAGAGGCATTAGCTCATTCAGTACGGAAGTGCTAACAAATGTCAGTTCATAGCCCAGGCCCCTCCCTCCAGAGATGGGCTCTGACCTTCAAGCACCTGTTACAGGGATGGGAGTCTGAGGACCAGCCCTGGAAGTAGCGGAGAAGGGGGCTTGAGATGAGCTGCCCAGTTGGCAGGGGTCTTCCTAGGTGCCCTCTGATGGCCACAGCCATCTGGAGTCCCCACCCCTATGAAGTCCCAAGTAACCAGAGACTTAAGGGGTAGGGTCTGCACTGACTAGTTGTTACAAACAGGGAACTCCAAGAGCCCCTTGAAAAAAGCTTCCAACATCAGGGGCCTCTAGAGAGGGCAGGAGAGAGGGCTTCCCAGCTCCACAGCAGTGACGAGGGGTTGATTCCCTTGTTCCCTGGGGAAAGGCCTCAGCCCCAGCTGAGCTGGTTAATAACCTCATGTGAAATAACTGAGGCCCTTCTGAAGCATCCTAGTGGCACCTGGGCACTGCACCATGCCTGGGCCTCCCTGTCAGCTGGACCCACCTGCAGGGAGCCTGCCCCTCGCCACCACAGTTTCCACTCTGTTCCAGGATGGACTCGCTGCAGAAACAGGACCTCCGGAGGCCCAAGATCCACGGGGCAGTCCGGGTGCCCCCCTATCAGCCACCCACGCTGGCCTCACTGCAGCGCTTGCTGTGGGTCCCTCGGGCTGCCGTGCTGAGCCATATCAACGAAGTCTGGCCCAACCTCTTCCTGGGAGATGCGTAAGTACGATCCACAGTGGGTGTTGGGGAGAACAGAAGGGGAGCCTCTTCCAGAGCCAAGGGGCAGAGTTGGCACCCTCTTTGCCTCCAACCATCTCTTTCCACATGTTTATTTCCTTTTACACTATTATTACTTTGTGGAAATAGAACACACCTAAGAAAAGTACACAGAGCATAGACGAACAGTTTCACCCCCCAGGTCAAGAAATAGGACATTAGTTGTGCCTCAGAAGCCCCTGTGGAACCCTTCTCATCATAACCCTTTTCCCTGTAGATAATCACTGAGTATTGAAACAATAATTTCCTTGCTTTTCTTTTTAGTTTCGCCATTTGTGTTAGTTTTGCCTATGTTTTAAAGTGATAGGAATAGAATCATATTGTGTATTTTGTGCCTGGCGTCATTTGCTCAAAATTGGGAGATTCGCCGACATTCCGTGTAGCTATAGTTCATTCATTTTTGGTTGCTATATATTATTCGTTTGTATGAATACACCATAGTTTATTTATTCTATTTGAGTTGTTTCCACTTTGGGGCTATTATAAACGGTGATTCTAGAAGCTAGTACATGTGCCCTGGGAACACACACGTTTCTCTAGGATGTATATATAGAGTGGAATGTGAGTCATTTTCCCCAAAAGTTTTCTTAAAATTTAGAACATATGGATGAGTATATGTGGATTTTATGTTTTCCTTAATATTTAGAAAATATAGATCAATATCCTATTAACAATAGGGCAAATATGTATCCCCCCTACACACACAGATAACCAGTAATAAAATCCTTGTTGACTTTTTAAAAATGCATACAAAAATGGTATCGCTTTATAATCCCATCTTGTAATCTGCTTTATATAGAAAACTTTTTAAATGGAATTGCACAACATACTTTTAAAACACTTTAAAACAATGTTCTGTTTTGTTATCCTCCGTTTTTCTCAATATAGCACCAACACCTTTCTTGGTTCACCAGCATCTATCTACCACATTTTAGTGGTTGTGTAGTATTTCATTTAGCTATACCATAGTCAATCTTCTTTTATAGGCTATTTAGTGATTTTTTTCCCCACTTTTTCTCTATCTTAAACATTAGATCCAGTTTACATTTGTCTGTGAGCACATTTGGGATTCTTTAAGTTCCTAGGAGACCTGCTGGGGCAAAGTAAGTGTACATTTTCGAGGCTTCTGATGCCATGTGGCCGACCTGCCTTCCAGAAAAGTTGGGCTGAGTGAAAGGGAGTCTTGAACTCCTACAAGAGGAGCCCCTTCACCCGAGCCAGTTCACTGGTTCCAGTCTACCCTTGGAGGAGGATGGCAGAGGAGGCAAGGGGGCAAGTTCCAGGCCAGCCAGAGCTGACCCAGTGAGCTCTACCCCACCTCCCAACTCCCCCCGTGCCCCTCCCCCCCAGGTACGCAGCCCGGGACAAGAACAAGCTGACCCAGCTGGGCATCACCCACATCGTGAATGTTGCCGCAGGAAAGTTTCAGGTGGACACAGGTGCCAACTTCTACCGTGGAATGCCCTTGGAGTACTATGGCATTGAGGCTGATGACAACCCCTTCTTCGACCTCAGTGTCTACTTTCTGCCCGTTGCTCGATACATCCAAAGTGCCCTCATCATTCCCCAAGGTCAGCTGCTGGGGAAGGCACTGGGGTGGAGGTGGGGTGCAGGCAGGATCTGGGGCTATCTACTTTTCCAGGAGCATGGATGGTGGGGTCCTTCAGCAACCCTCCCACCTCATGGGGCTCACTACTACCATTTAGTGAGCATCCCCTTCAGGGACACCCTGGAAACCAACAATCATAGATATAACTAAGGTCCAGTGTGGTCGTTAGGGTAACCATATCGCTTGGTAAGAGGCCAGGTGTTGGGCAAAAGGTACAGGACCTAGAGAAAACTGCTCAAGAGCGTTTGCCAAGATGAGGCCTCAGTGTAGAGCTGCAGGGGCTGGGGAGAGGGCAGAACTGGGGGGAAAGGGAGGGAGGTGGACACCCCCTGCAAACCCAGGGGACTCCAGGAGTACTGACCCCCCACCGTGCTAGAGTGGCAAGGGATGCCAGAGGAGGCACCTTGCACCAGGAGAAGGGAGTCCCGCTGCTAACCTTCACCCTGCCACTAACTTGCTTTGTGACCTTGAGCGAGTCCCTTTCCTCTCTGGGCCTCAGTTGCCCCATATGACAATGAGGACAGTGTCAGTATTCCAGGATGCTGTGATAGGTGGGCAGAAGCATCCCTGATTCCCTAAGGGGCAGGCGGTGTGAGAACAGGTAGCTGATGCTAGGTTGGGTCTCCCCGCAGGCCGCGTGCTGGTACACTGTGCCATGGGGGTGAGCCGCTCTGCCACGGTTGTCCTGGCCTTCCTCATGATCTGCGAGAACATGACACTGGTGGAGGCCATCCAGACAGTGCAGGCGCACCGGGATATCTGCCCCAACTCAGGCTTCCTCCGGCAGCTCCAGGTTCTGGACAACCGACTGGGGCAGGAGACGGGGCGGCTGTGACCTGGTGGGCAACCAGGAACCCTGACCCTCCAGCCAGCATGGCCCACCCAACCAGCCTGGCCCTGGGGACCTTGCTTCCAGTGACCTTGAGATGTAAATAGCAAGTGGGGGCTTAGCTGAGGCAGAGGCAGGGAGAGCTGGGTGGTGACCTTTAGCAGGTGGATCTCCCTGACCCAATCCAAAGATTCTTTATGCAGAAAAGAGTTCAGTCTGTCTCTATAATAAAAGGTTCATCATAATAAAGACAGGAGACCTTCTGGTGGTTTGTGGGGCAGTGGTCACGAGGCTCCAGAAGGCTTGCCAGCCCATGATGGCAGCCTAGAGGTGGGGTCTGAGTCAACTGTCTGAGTAAAGACCAAAGTTCAATGCATCACCATCCTTTCCATGCCCACCCTGTATCAAACACCGACTATCAAAACTTGCTGTGCACAAACAGCATCTCCTGAATCCAGTCAGTTTTTTCATTTTCGTTCTTCTTCCAAAAAGGACTGACTAAAGTCACAGAAACCTAATAGAAGCATTAAACAATAGCACAGGGGTTTGGGAGGAGACATGCCAGAATTCCTGGTGAGGGACGGTTATATGATGGGGCAACATTTGGCTGTGAGTTTCTTACTGTTTGTACCCTAATAAAATAAAACAATGTAAAAAGCCCATAGGTTCCTCACCTGTACGTGAGGTATTTATGAGGATTAGATGGGCTGGCATTCCTCCTCCCTCTCTGGCTGTTTCCATGCAGCCCTGGCCTCCTCCGGCTGACCCTTAAACATCAAGGTGTCTGAGGACGCTGGCCTCTGCCTCTTCTCTCCTTCAGTGTTCTCGCTCTCCTGGGGGTCCTCTTGTCCCCACAGCCTCAGTTCACATCTCTAGGCTGATGACTCTCAGACCCCTACGGCGGCCCAATTCTCTCTTCTGAGTTCAGAACCTCTGTATCCTACTGGCCACCTTCATTTGAATATTGAACCTGAGCTTCAAACTGAACTTTTCATCACCTCCCACCCAGACCCACTCCTTTTCCTAGTTCCCACTTTAGTGAAGGGCTCTGATAGGCCTTGTCATCCAAGTCAGTGGTGGACTTCTGCCACTCTTCCAATTGGCCTACCAACTCTACCTCCTAAACAGGGCTCAGACCTGCTCACTTAGCTTCATCTTTGCTGACTACCCAAGTTCAAGCCACCTTACCTCTCACCTGGATTCTTGCTCAGGCCCCTGATGGTCTCTCTGTTTCTAGCCTTGCCCCCTCCAATCTCCATGCGGGCCCCAGACAGCTTACTAAAAGGAAAATCGCATCACATCACCCCGACACTTAAAACCCCTGAAGGACAAACACCTTGACAAAGCATAAAGATTCTTCATTTTCTGAGACCGTCTCATGTCTCCAGACATCTCTCTTCTAATTCTGTTCCCATACATGCCATGTAATTAAGAAATGCTAAATACACTTGCAGTTTCCAGAATGTACCACCCGCTTACCTCTTGGTGCTTTGCACATGCTTCAGGTTGCAGCACCTGAATGCACATCCTCACTCATTTTTGTTGGGGTCTCTTTGAGGTCTCAGTTTAGACGTCACTTCTGGGGACGCCCCTGGACCCAGCAAACCTGAGTGAAGTGTTTTTCCTTATGCTACCAAAATGTCCATCCACCCCTTGTGGGATCACCTGTCACACTGAACTATAATTGCTTGGTGCCTTGTCATTCTCTTCCAGCTGGCTGTCTCTCACCAGGCTTTCCCTGGGCTCAAGGTCCCCATGACTCCCACACTCTCTGGCTATGACCCTGCCATGAGGTAGAGTTCCGTGTTACTGGGCCCTCTCTACAGGGGCCACCAGGGGGAGTGAACTTGCCCCTGGGACTGGGCCAGCCTCCAGAGGGCACCTCCTCTCCCCCCAGCTCCACGTGCACACAGCATCTCACCATTTGGTCACCCTGACACCCTCTTCCCAGCTCATCTTGTCCCCTTGGGCCACCTTTGACTTCCCTCTTTGCTCCCCTGCCAAGGTTCTCTGGGAACAGCCCTGCCTTCTCCTGGGAACTTAAGGGCCCTTTGCCCTTCTCCACCATCTGCTCTATTTCCAGAGGGCAAGTGCTTTTCCTTTGTGCAAATCCAAAAAGGGGCACCCTCTGACCAAACCAGCCTTTTAGGCAGGAGCACTCCTGGGCAAACAGTTTGGTCAAGAAAAAGGTGTCCCTTCCTCCCAAGTAAACGTAGTTCCAAGTTATGGTGCCCAACTCAGTGAGCTGAGCACAGGCTGGGTTTTAGGCCCCATTTACTCCTCCTTCAATTTATAAACTGCACAAATGTAGACAGCCCTCTCTGGGCCATAGGGATTAATATCCCCATTTTACAGATGAACAAACTGATGCTCAGAGAAGCTAAAATGAACAAACTGATGCTCAGAGAAGCTAAAATGAGGCTGGATGTTGCCTCCTGGATCCAGGATCTCCGGGCTCTGGCCTCAAAGGGCAGGTACTGCCCAGCAGATCCCCTGCTCTGCTGCCTGCAGTGCTTGGTCCTAATCCCAGCTGGCTATTGGCTACCTAAGGTGCTCTCTGGGCCTTTTCCAAAGGGTAAACACATGTCCTAGCTGGAGTTTGGCAGGAGGGCTGGTGCTGCTGTGCCCAACCAGGCAGGATGGAAAACTTCTCAGTTCATCCTCAGGTTGGTGGGGCCTATAATTTTCCAGAGCAGACAAAGCTAGTCCCGTCAGTAGTCTGCACACCCCCAATTCCCTTGGGTCCCCCCACTCAGCCTGACAACTCAGCCCTTGTTGCTATCTCTTGCTTATGCATGGTCAGCAGGATCCAAAATAGTGGCTCCAGAAGCCAGTCTCTAAATCAACATCCGGGTCTATGACTGTGGGCAGCCTGCCCTTGCTGGCTGGGGTAGAGTGCCCTGAACCTGGGACAGAGCCACACCCTGGGCCTGCGGCTTGAGTTTCAGCAGGTTACCTTCTTGGGGCTCCGAGGGTTGGGCTCAGATTCTGGGGCTATGGGGAGATGAGGCAGGGAAAGCCACACATTCCCCAGAGCACACAAGGAAACAGAGGTTGAGCTCCAGACTGACACCTCCACCGGGAACCCTTCCTGCCTGCCACACTTGGCCCAGGAAGTCTGCGATGATGCATCTACTCTTCCTGTTCTATAGAGCAGCCTCGTGAAAGGAGCGAGGTATTGTTAAGACTATGAATTTGGAGCCAGATTACCTAGGTTGAAATTCTACCTCTGCCCCTTACCAGGTGTGTAAACTCAGTTAACCTCTCCATACCTCAGTTTCCCCCATCTGTAACATGGGAGTAATAATAGCCAACATACAGGATTGTTGTAAGGATAAAGTGGGGCACATAGGAAGTGCGTTGTACAACATGTGGCAAGCCCTCAAAAATGAGAGCTCTGACTATTGTCATAGTATGTAGTACGGGAGCCCCTGGCATCACCTGCTGCACAGGAACTCCCAGTCCTGGACTAAAGGCTGCCAGCACTCTCAGTGAATTGAATGAATGAATGATTAAAATTAGCTGACCTAAATGCAACACGGTACCCCGGATTGGATTTGGGCACAGCAAAAGACTTAAGCAGAAAAACTGGTGAAATCTGAAAAAATTCTGTGGTTTAGTTAATAGTGTTACACCAATTTTAATGTCTTTGGTAAATGGACCATGGTTATATAAGAAGTTAACATTAAAGGAAGCTGGGTGAAGAGTGTCTAAGAAATGTCTCTGCTATCTTTATAACTCTTCTGTAAATCTAAAATTAGTTCAAAGTAAAACGTTTTAAAAATTTGTTGACAATTACTGACTGCTTTGCATATGCCAGGTACTTTGCTTAATGCTTTAGATACGTCATACATCTTCTTTTTTTTTTTCAGTTTCATTCGTGATGTTTTATTTCTTTAGAAAAAACACAAATCAAATATGGCAAAATGTTAAGATTTGACCATATTGAGCTTTGGGAATATAGGTGTCTGTTATTTTTTTTGTATTCTTAAAATATTTCCTAATTTAAAAAATCAAAAATAAATTGACTGACTTTTAAAATTAGAAACATTCTATTCTCTATATTTAGGTTTTGAAAGCCATCAGCAAATGGGTTTTAGGAACTATTCTGAATTAAAATGGTGCCATTATTATTGGCTTTAGGCCTAAAATACTGCAAATTCATGTTATCCTTTTAAAACCTTCAAGAGGCTTGATTATGGATAATCTTGCTTCAAGAAAAAGGTAATGATGACCAGTTTATAGAGTTTAGATGAAATAACTGTGATCAAAGGGAAGCTAGGCCAGTAAGTCAAACTATACAGTTGACCCTTGAACAACGAAGGTTCAAGGTTCAGTTAAACCTGTGCGGGTCTATTTACACACAGATTGTTTGCAATAGTAAATATTGTAGGGCTTCCCTGGTGGCGTCATGGTTGAGAGTCTGCCTGCCGATGCAGGGGACACAGGTTCGTGCCCCGGTACGGGAAGATCCCACATGCCGCGGAGTGGCTGGGCCCATGAGCCATGGTCACTGAGCCTGCGCATCCGGAGCCTGTGCTCCACAACGGGAGAGGCCACAACAGTGAGAGGCCCGCGTACCGAAAAAAAAAAAAAAAAAAAAAAAAGGAAATATTGTTGTACTACACGATATATAGTTGGTTGAATCCACCAATGTGAATCACTGATACAATCCAGAGGCACCGTGGATATGGAGGAACCATGTGTCAGGAGAGCCAACTATAAGTTATACACATGAATTTTCAACTCTGTAGAAGGGTCTGTGCCCCTAACCCCCTCGTTGTTCAAAGGTCAACTGTACATTTCATTTAATCCTCACAACCCTATGGGATAGGTCCCATTATCACCCCATTTTACAGACAAGAACACAGGTGGAGAGAGGTTAAGCCAGATAGCAGCTAACTTTGAGAGCTTATGTACCTGAGGGTTCGTCAGGCTTGTGGCTCTGACAAAGCTTTATTTCTCTTTCACAACACAAGTTGATGGATGCAAGGGGGAGCAAGCATGGAGGATGTAGAGGCCAGATATATTACTTCCCCTCTGGTTTCCAGGGCAAGAACTCAGTCACATGGTCACACCTAACCGCAGAGGCAGCTGGGAAATGTGGTCTAGCAGGGCACCCAGGAAGAAGAGGAAACTGCAGATATTGGTGATCTTGAGCAGGTGTTTCCAGAGCAGGCGTTGTTAAGAGATATATATATATATATATATATATATATATATATATATATATATATAAACGTTTAATTCT